TGAATGAATGAATGAATGAATGAATGAATGAATGAATGAATGAATGAATGAATGAATGAATAAATAAATAAATAAATAAATCTCTGCCAGTTTCAGACCTGCAATCTTCTATTTACATGGCAAGAGTTATAACTCTTGTGCTATTAGGGTGCTCATGGTAAGGGAAGGTATAAAAAACACTAGAAAGAAAGAAGGCAATTAGAAAATATTTTTAAACTGCTTGTCCCTGCACATATGTGCATTCTGATGCATTAACTTTGTATGCATAAATTGTGTGTGTGTTTGTGTATATTTATTATACTCAAGCCAAATCAGTCCACTGAAGGATGATCATCTCTTTGCTGAAGGACCATAATCGACCATCCTGGTCCAGTGCAGGTTGGCAAATAGATGATTTTGACTTCCCAGTCTAGGGCTGAGGGAAGGGCCCCAAAGTCACTCATCTGACTTCCATGCCCAAGGGAAGATTAGAACTTGAATCTCTCTACTCCTAGTCCAACATGTCAACACACACACACACATCCAGGAAGACCACAAGAAGTAAAGCAATTGCCATTTGCTTTCCTGGTAGAGAAAAGTGGATGGGCACAGCAGCAGGGGAATTGTCCAGTGGGAGGACAGGGTCGCCTGCAGTCTGGACTGAATCCCTTGCAAGCTGTTGCCAAAGTGTCTCAGTCCAGACACGATTTTTAAAAACTGGCTTAGCATTGCGCTGTCACAAGCACAAGGCAGGAACAGCTTAAACGGCAAGGGTGGCTACATTCTGAAACTCTATATTCAGTAGCATAGCTCTGACTATTGATAAAGGAAAAAACACTACCTTAAGAGTTGTAGAGGATCAAATGTACTCAGTTTGCCCTTTAAAATGTCGGATACATCCCCCCCATCCACTAAATTGTTTCTTAGTGGTACAGAATAGCAGAAATATCACCTGGTGTCCCACTGATCATCTCTGTTCTATTGCTGTTGTATACAAGGAACAACCAAAGGCCATTCTCTTTGAGATAGAAAAAGTAAAACTACTGTTATTGTATTGTTTTAGCCTTGGTTGCCAATAGAGAATATGACACTTAGAGTTAGTTGTGATTGCTTTTAAGCCTGAGAAAAATAAATAAAATAATAAAGTAAAGTAAAGTAAAGTAAAGTAAAGTAAAGTAAAGTAAAGTAAAGTAAAGTAAAGTAAAG